GAGGAAAAGAAGGAAAGAAAATAACGGGCAAGCCCGTAACAGTCACATAGAGCCCATTTAAGGGGTTGGGACTGAAGGTTGGGGCAAGAACATGAGCTGAGCATAACACAGCTGGATTCATTAAGAGCAGAGAGATGCTGGCAAGTGCCTCTGAGTAAGACATCAGTGTGCTGATTACTATGAGTTTGCTCAAGAAATTCTGTCACCCAATGATGGCTTATTCCATAGAACATATAATATGTCACTAGTGAGACGTTTCTATTGATATTTTTAGATGTCCCTCTAATGGTGCTACTGACCAAAGTGGACAAAGCATGTCCTCATGTGGAAAAGGACTTGACGAAGGTCTACCACAGCAGCTACATAAAGGATCTGGTGAGTTTCAGGGTCTAACACTGGAATCAGTACTAAAGGCTGCACTGACTTGCAGCAGGCACACACACAGTGATCAAGTGAGGGATAGCAGCTCACCTTGGTGGATGTTTGCTGTAGGAGGAAACAGGGTGAACAAGCAAACGTCACACATGGAGCCAGCAGGGATCCAGCCCACAGCCCTGGGGTGTCTGAACCTTTGGCTTATTATATTCCAATGGCTCACAAAACTTTATCTCAATTTCATTTTCTAAAACATATTTTCAGGTAGCAAAATGATCCTGTCTGTAGCACTGTGGCATCATACCTCCATAACCCAGCATCCTGGCCTGGGTGTCTCCTTCCTCAGGTCCTCTGTTTCCTTGGATAGGCTCACCATGTACTGAATGGGGGTTATGGATGGATGGATGGCAAATTTGTGCCCAAAATTTACATTTACATTTACAGGATGGGTTTTCTGCTCACGAGCGCAGACACGCGTGCCTCATATTTTGAGACTAATAATTTAATACTGAGTGAGCAAACGAGTATTATGTAGAGTCAAGCGTATAGTGAGGATATTATTTTTGCTGGTGAGCGCATATGCACCGCATGGTTTTTATGTGCGTGAGTTTTGAGATTAATTAAACGCCATAGACCCTTTCGAGGTCCGAATTTGTACAGTTGATCGCTTCACGACCTATAGAAGTTTTAGTAGGAAAGTTCCAAGATATTGGATTGAAAAAAAATTTGACAGACCCGTTTCAGATGAGTTGGTCGAGTTAAGAGGTATTCGAGTTCTGAGGTTCTCCTGTACATTCACATTTGGCAGCATCTACTAAAGGCAGATTTATACCATTTCAGTTGTGACTTATTACAACCCTGTTTGACACTAATCTTGTGATACAGCAGCTGGAAAATATACATGAATGTATATGTCTCTCTGCAGATCTACAGAGCTAGTGAGTGTCTGGGCATCCCACCGTCAAATGTGATTCCTGTGAAGAATTACCATGATGAGACTGAGCTGAATGACACCTGTGACATCCTGCTCCTCCGGGCTATGAAGCAGATGCTTGGCTTTGCTGACAATTACTTTGACAGCCGGGAGGAAGACACAGAGTAGATGAATTTATCATATTTGGGGGCAGTGCCATTGCCTTTCTCTGTCCATGTCCTTGTGTTATACACCACACATTTGTTTCCAGTAAACCTGCATTAGGCTGATTCTTTCCTGATACACAAATATTTTCATAACCTGGATTTATAATTGTCTTTTCACTTGAGTAAGAATGATGGTTAGATATAATCTATATATAGGATATATGTCACGCCCCGCTCCGTCCGCTCCTAATGTGTGCCACGCCCACCTCGTTACCTCGTGTTCAGCCCTGAGTGTGATCACCTGTGTCCTGTTAGGTCTAGCTTATCTTTTATATTTAGTCCTCGTCTGAGTCAGTCTTCCCCAGATCTGTCATTGTATTGTCTCGATGTTCGTGCCTGTCAGCCATCCCATTCCTATTAAAACCCTGTTTGTCCGACTTCTCGGCTCAGCTCGCCTGCTTTCCTGCTCGCCTGCTTTCCTGCTCGCCCGCTTTCCTGCTCGCCCGCCCGCCAGTCGTGACAGAATTACAGATCTCCACAGCGCACCTCAGCAGATCGCGGACCAACGCCTCGATCTGCTCAACGAGGTGATTTACTGGCTGAACCTGCCAGAGGTCCAAAAGGATCCCCACCTGCGGGACTTAGCCAGCCGGAGCGGGACACTCTTAAGCGAGATGTCGCCGTCCGGGAACGCGCACGTAATGGCGGAAGTGCGCGAAAACCTCCGGCAGCTCGTCAACGGGGTGACGGAGAAGCGGCTCCAGCCGCTCGCCCTCTCTGAGGCAACCCCGCCTCAACCGACCTGCCCCAGTCGGAGGAAAAAGAAGAGGCGCAAGGGGAAAGGACCGGAGGAGACCCCGACCGTTTACCTGAGGGCTTGCTCTCTCCGTTTTGCCTCTCTCCCCGCTGCATTTCGGGAGGAGCCCCTCCTGACACAGAAACCAGCGGGGATCTCTACAGCTGCGCAGCTGCCGTCACCAGCAGCCTCCGTATTCCAGGGTGGCCACCTGGAGTATGAGGGGATCAGGGCCGTCTGGGATGCTATTCCCCGGATCCCCAAGGCNGCTGTATAGGTACTGTATGCTAATTTCCGTTATTACAGTTAACTATGCGAAGTGATATGGAACTGTAATGCGGTCAAGAGAGCTGCCTGGAACTACATGCGCCGTGCGTTTCCCTGAAAATAATTGCACACCTCAGAACGTTCGTCAGCCAATCAGATTCAAGCATTCAACGGTCCCGTAGTATAAACTTCATTAAGTGGTTTCAGTTGCAGATGACTAATGAGATGTAAAGGAAGCTGTAGTAACATGCTATTAGATATGGGATTGTTTATATTCCTTATGAATTTTGACTAATTCCCATTTCCAATTCCAATGTCTGTTCTTTTAGCACACAAACTGATCTCAAGCAATACCTGCTAGATTACAAGCCCACTATTGATTCAGTGCCTCAGGCTCGGATTCTTCTAATTGGTCAGCTTAAAGCTGGAAAATCAAGCTTCTTCAACTCCATCAACTCTATCTTCCGTAGCAACATTACAAGCCAAGCTAAAGTAGGAGAAATGACAACCAGCCTAACTTTGAAGGTAATGTGATTGTGTAACTCTTAATTTCCTGGTATAACATTTGTGTATCCAAATGTCTTTATGTATCCAAATGTTCTTGTTTGAGAGGAAGCATGATATTCTGGTTTGGTGTTTGCTCTACATCTGTTATTTTTAGTTTCAGTTGCTGTTTGTTATCCTCATTGTGCTTTAGGAAGGGATTAACTCTGCTGCAGGATATTTAGTTTGAAGCTATGGAAACCCCACATAACACAGCAAGAACAGGCAACCTCCACGCACACAGAGCCAGAGGCATGATTTGAACTCCAATCCCTAGAAGTGTGAAGTTGCAGCACCATCCACTGAGCCTCTGTCATCATGTTCTTATTGCCATTACCTACAGGACACTTTGTGCTGAAATTTATTTTACGTGTTATGAAATCACATCGTACTGGTCGAGCACATAATGTGATTCTTAATTGTTGTTAAATCAAGCCCGCAGATCAAGTGATTGATCTCCATGAAAAATAAAAAACTAATCAGCAGTATCACCAAGCTCGGTGAATAACCCCACACCCCCATTTTAATGCTGGTTGTTAAGTACATTATCCTTGTATTGTTTTTAAAAAGTGGGTCATCTGAGCTGAAGATCTCCTCACCAGTGGCCACCAAGTTATATCAGTTTGAGATGTCTGCTGAACTGTATTAGCAGCTAGCAGATGAATGATATCATGTGTGTTCTTCCAGTATCGCACTTACCAGGTGAAGGCGGGCCGAGGTGGACCGCCTCTGGCGTTCCTACTGTGTGACACCATGGGCCTGGAAGCAAGGGAGGATGGAGGGATGAATATTGAAGATATTGACAGCATCCTGAAGGGCTACATAAAAGAAGGGTATCCGGTAAGAGCTGTGTATCTAACCAAGCCTCAAAAACAACTGCTATATGAATTCAGGAAATTAAATCTCATTAACTGATTGGTTTTGGAATAAATAATGTACTGTTGTTACATAAGTGTCATATGTAAGGACTCACATTGCATTTTGCTTGAGTTTCCTATGATCTCAGAGTCAATGCATGTCTGTATGTAATTCACACCATTCTGTTTGTTTAGTTCAACCCTGCGCAGCCAATGAAAGCTGATGACTGTCAGGCGTGCAGCACAATGGCTCTTAAGGACAGGATCCACTGTGTGGTGTATGTGATAGATGCCACCACAATTGGAATTCTGGACCAAGGAATGAAGAATAAAATTGGTGAAATCAAAAAGATAACTATCTGGGCAGGTCAGTGAGTGAGGAGAACAGGGAGGGAGGCGGCATCTGTGACTGAGTGTGTGTCAGCGGGGGAGGGGGGTTGGATCTGGGGGTCAAAATTCATAAGCAACTATTTATATAGATGTTATAATATGCTTTTACACCAGCTTTTCCTGAACCATGAATAATACTATACTGCTCCATCTGTGAGAAGCTCGAGGGCTTTCTGTCACATAGAGCCCATTTAAGGGGTTGGGACTGAATGTTAGGACATGAACATGAGCTGAGCTGAACACAGCTGGGTTCAGGAAGGGCAGAGTGATACTGGCAGGTGCTTCTGAGTAAAACAGACATCAGTGTGCTGATTACTATGAGTTTGCTCAAGAAACTCTGTCACCTGATGACGGCTTATTCCACAGTACATATAATATGTCACTAGTGAGACGTTTCTATTGATATTTTTAGATGTCCCTCTAATGGTGCTACTGACCAAAGTGGACAAAGCATGTCCTCAT